CCTTTCGGTTCGTGAAGGGTCGGTGCGAGTCGTGCTACCAGTCCTCGGCCTTGGTGAGCAGTCACATCCGTGCTCCCCGCCATCTCCATCGCCTGGTCTGCGAATGCTTATCAGCCACGAAAGGAGAGCGTGGCCGAGGACGCATAGACTCAGATCGCAAGATCCCAGAAAGGCACCTCCGCCTCTGGACAGGGTGGCCCGCCACGTAAGGACCCCAGGAATTGCGACTCGCCGCTTTCCTCCCGCTGTGATCCTGTGAGAGCTCTGTGTCTTAATTTGCCAACAATATACCTAAAACCCAAGGGAGGAGTGGGGAGGACGGCACGCCGCCACCACACAGGGATTTTAAGGAGAGGAGTGTGGTGCTAGCCGTCGCCCACCCTAACCCTTGGGCGTCTGCTTCTTCCTATCTCTCTTCGCACAGTCCCTCGCCGATTCTCGCTGCAACCTTCATGCCACCTCGCGGTCGTCCCACTCTCGTTCTCTCTCCTGTCGCCGTTGATCCTCTGTCGCGTCGCTCTCCTCTGCCTCGTTCTGCGACGGCGCCGCCGCCTGCCGCTCCCTTGCTCTCGCAGCTTCTCCCGCCTTTCGGCGCAACTCTGCCCTCCTGGCGGCATATTTTGGCCCCTCGAGTTTATCGAGCTCTCCTCGCGCAAGCTCGCGCAAGGCCAAGGACGACTCTTCTCACTTCTGACGCCCACTGCGATCATTTGCCGCCAAGTCATGTCGTTGCTCAGGTCCACTCTCTCTTCGCACTTCGGACACTTGTACCTCCACGGCTGATGCTGGCGCTGGGGTCCCCTGCGGCGGAGAGCTTGTGCGGCGGAGAGTTGATTTGGATTTTTTTTCGAGAGACTGCCAGTCTTGTGACTTGTGTGCTGTCGCCTACTCGCTACTGTCTGAATACGCGGAGCGAAGAAAATTTTGTACGTCTATTTTTGGGCCTCGTTTGGAATACGTATTCTGGAATACGTGGAATACGGTCGGAATACTGAATACGGGCAGAATACAGCCCTTTACAGCCCTTTTGGAGATCCTCTGGAATACGTGGAATACGTATTCAGACAGTTGGGCTGCTGTGGTGCAGGGTCCGGCGAGCGGGCGGGGTGCGCGCTGCCCATCTCTCCGGGAGATGCAGTCTGCTCGAACCGCATTTTATTTGCACCATCGTATTGCAATAGAGATCCGTGAGAGATCCGGACCGACTCAAATACACAATGGCGAAGAGGCGCCGCGAGGACGACACAGCGAGCGCTTCGGCCCCAAACGCCATGGCCGTCGTCCAGGCCGTTCGGTCAGGGATCAAGCTGCAGCGAGAGGACCCGCAGCGCGCCTTCCGGCATGCCTGCCTTCTCCAAATGCGAGTGATGTTGGCCGCAAAAAACCCTATGACCGAGCCTCTGCACAAGTTCTCCCACGGCCAAGGGGTCCTCTGGCGGGACGACTCGCCGCCCGAGACGCCCGCCCTGTCCGCCTCGAGCAGCTCCAGCGACCTCGACTCGGGCTTTAACATGGTGGAGGACGAGTTTGCGATGCTTGTGGACGAGCTTGAAGATCTGGACGAGGTGGCGTCCGTGGCGGCGGAGCAGTGGGCCTCAGCTCGTTAGTCGCGAGGAATTGGCGAGCAGTGGGGGTCGGATGGGGCTCGCTTGCCGCTGTGCCGCTCCTTCCCCACGCCGTGGGCTGGTCGGACGTCGTGAGACCCGCACCGGTGCTGGCACTGCGCGATGCGTGTACAGTAGATCTAGTAGATCGTTGTGAGAGCGCCGCGGTAGACGCGTGCCGCTGGACGCATCTGGGAGCGCTAGTCCCCGCCCCCCCTTCCCACACGTGGCCCTCTCACGCATGCCCTCACGCCACGCATGCCCTCACGCATGCCCGAAATGGAGAGCACAAATTGTCCGCCCTGTTCAATGTGTGTGTACACCAGTTTGTCGAGTACAACCAACCATGACAGCACA